GAGTTCAAGGTCAAAGAATTGTGTTAGTTTCTGGCAATTCACACAGTACAACTTTTCTTTTCCTCTACAGGACCAATTTATGCTGAAATGATCCAGAACCTGCTTCTGCCAGTTCTTCAAAACAAGGAATGTAATTTGGTTCGTTATAATGTAATTAATGCATTACCCAATACAGCAGATTCTCTCATAGGGAGAGCTGCACACATTGCTGTTCTTGATTCAGAAATATTTTTAGAAAAATTCTTTCTTGTTGCTGCCCTAAAATATTTTCAGTAGAGAAAAGCATTGTCAGAGACTTGGTTATTACCTCATTAAAAGATGAATTCAAATAATGTGTGGTGTTTAAGTATAGCTGCAGCTGTATTTTAAGAGATATTTATACTTTTTATATGGAAGATAATTTATATCATCCACACTTAGGGCTTTTTAACATCAACTTTACTTTCTAGGTAATGTGACTGTGCAATATTTTTTTATTTTGTTCTTTTTACTTTTCTATTACTTTTTCTTAATTTTGGGTACCTAATTATTTGGAGATTAAAGCACAGTGTGTATTTTTGTTTGGATGGTTATTGGCTTTCAGACAACAGAAGTCGATGTTACTTGGCTACATTTTACAAGAGGCTTTAGATGCCAAAAATAAATTGGATTTTAAAATTCTAACAATGTCTTACGTGTTCACTTGTCATATTTTAGCACTGTAGGAAGTTTAACTGGAAACACAATGAGCTGCTAAAATACTGGATATTTGAAAATTACTATATCTGCTACAGCTTAACAGTTTTCTACAAAATCATTACTGTCATTGTTAAATATGTTATGCCTGTGGGAACACATTTTCTGCTGATCTCAAAAACATGTTAGTTTACATGCTCAAATTTTAAGACTGGAACTTTTGTTTTCAGAATTAAATGGCAACTAAGGATATTGAATGTTCAATGATAGCTGCCTTCAAATAATTGGGGTTTTGCAAACTGTATTAAGATGGTTCCTTACTCTGTCAGTTCTTCAGATGAACATGGACAATTTTACGTGGACTTCCTTGTATATACTTAAAATAAGTAAATGTTATAAATTTCTGCAATACTTTTATGAATTTAAACAATTTTTAAATATTGTTAAAATGTTTTATTGACTATAAAGTATTGTAAATATAAATCAATACATCTTCAAATGAGACTATTGTAAACTTTACCTGTTTAGTGACACAGATAAAATGTTTTTGATATACAGGAATGTTAAAGATCCGACTTTCTACTGGTGCTGAACAGCATTGTTTGGTTTCTTCTTCCTTCCCTTTTCTCTGTTTCAAACAATAGTTCACTAAAGGTGGGGGAAAAGAGTTATATGTGCATTCACTAATTGTACACTAATTGTAATGAACATTTTTTGAAAAATATAAATTTGTTGTATAATGCATGTTTATTTTTAGCATTGTGTTATTGCATCTGGTGTTAATAAAATGAACAAATTACTCTAATGAAAGCAATTAAAGAAACTGAAATGTTCTGCTAATTACCAAAATTCTGGGGAGGCTTTTTGTATATAATTAATAATTTTGTACTTTTGAAATTAATATAGCAATAATACTTTAAGTGATTATATATAGATGAAGTTTCTTTAATAATAGATAAAATGATTTTGCATTGGATATGGAAAGTTGTATAATTGTCTTTGTAATACATAGGGAGGGTTCCCTATAACTTAGAAGATGCTGAAATGAGTATCTGAGCATCTACAGTTCAGCACTGTATACACTGCAGAGTATTTTATTAGTGTTGTGTTAGGCAAGTCATTACGACACAAAGGTCTCTTTAATACATTCTCAATATAAAAATGCCTATTTTTGTTTTTAATTTTGTATTATGATGTTGCTATTAAGCTCTAAATGTTTAAATTATGTTTTTGTATCTCAACTGGCTTTTATTTAACATTATTATTGGATTTGGCTACTGGCTCAACTTTGAATAGCTGTTAAAGGGAGCTGAAGTTACAAAATATTCCTTGATTCACAATTCAGACTTTAAACTGTTCTGTTTAAGAAACAAGTATTTAAATGGTTCTGTCACTATTGAAAAATGTCTGTGTTGCTTTCTGTCTCTGGAAACCAGAACATGTAAAGCATGTTTTTGTGATCAGGAAAGCAAAAGTATCATGACAGAAATATCCACTTTTTTTTCTTTTTTTTTTTCTTTTTTGGGGGGGCAGTGGGGTGGTAACGTAACAGTAGGTCCTGTCTATTTAAAGCAGTCTGAATTAGGTTTGTTCTTTGAGGAAAATGGATAGTTCAGGACATCATGTGATATTTGCGTGTAAGTATCACAATGAACAGGGCATTCATTCTCTCTTCCTTAATTTTTATTGCCTGCTCCCTATGTGTGGAGTGGTAGCCCTCTCAGTACTGTAGCTTGTGTGAGGGCTGTTTGACATCCCAAAGTCCCCAAGGATGTGCCATCTGACCACAGTGAGAGCTGTGATGACCCCAACATGTCCTTGAAGCGTAGGAGGTTCACATGCACTCACAGAACGTGTGGTCACTTGCAGCTGCTCCCTGAACAGCACATGCAGGCTGGGATACTGTGGGCAACTGTGCATGTGTTGCCTGGCATTTCCCCCCTACTCCTGCTGTGTTCCCAGACCTAAATACAGACCTGTGTATACATAAGTCAGTGTCATCTGATGCAGCAGAAGCTCCAAAGTGCTGCTACTCACCATCTCACCACTCTTCTGTTTGAATGAGGGCTTCATCTTCCTTTAGAGATAGTGACCTCTCCTTCATGCAGGTATCCTGCAGCTGCTTCAAAGAGAATTGTGCTGCTTACAGAATGAGAGGTAAGAACTGAGGTCTTACCATTCCTTTAACTGTCAGCCTCTTGTTCCCTGAAGGCAATAGGCTGGTGCTGTTACTTCAGAAAGCTCTCAGTGATGTAATGAGGAGATCACTGCATAAAATGACATAGTGTCTGAACCTCTGTTTCCATGTTCTGCATATAAATTAATTCCTTGGGTTGTGTTTGAGTCCTTGATACAAACTCAACTTTCTCTCACTGTAAATCTAGGCATTGCAACAACTTTGGAAAAAGAGTTCATATTATACTGGAAATCACCAGGATTTGCAGCAGAGCCAAGAGATTTGACATGGATGGAAAACTTACTCTGTAACCACGAAACAACCTTGATTCCAAGCTGGTTTTATTTGCTTAGCCCTGGTGTTTATTTGCTTAGGTGTGTTGTTCAGATAACCAAGGTTCTTGACATGGTCCCAGAGGCAGAGGGGGCATTCAGGCAGTATCAGTGCTGCCCAGGACAGTGCTGCTTGTGGTGCTTTCCAGGTAGTCTCCAAGACCAGTACATCTGGCTCATCTGAACTGACCTGCTGCAAGCTCTGTGCTAGCTGTAAGTCTTATATTTCTTTTATTCCCCACTTTTTAGAACAGCCAAGCTAAATACAATATTGTTTATGTCATCTTGCAAAGGAAGCTGCAGTGCAAGAGATAAATGATCAGTAAACAGAGGAAGGAAAACAAGAAAACAGTCCATTTAATCACAAAGTAGAAAATTCCTGTGGTGTATGCTGCAGTTGTTTTTACCAATGTTAAGATGTATTACCTCCTTAGCCAAAAGATCTAGGAATGAATAATTCAGGAGTTACAAGTGAATTTTTACAGCAATACAATAAAGATGAGAAATATGTTTTGATAACAGTTAATTTTTAGGTGGATAAACAGTACCTCAGTAGTCTTTCACTGCTGTTTCATTCTTATAATTTGAAATTCAACATGCTTGTACGTATGATGTATACATACATGTATGATTTCTCATGGCATGTGTTAAGCAGTTTAGGAGCACAGCTTACTTGGTGTCTGCAGACAGCTTGGTAAGTTTTTTTAAGGGAAGCATTTCATGTTTTTATTGTACTGAAGACATAAATAATAAGTTCTCTTGAACTTTGACAAGATCTGTTTAGGTTTTCTCCTTGCTGCTTTCAGGCAGAGCATTTTTTTCTGCATTTGTCTTTATATTCTCTGATCTAGAGGACCAGCATCTTGCTGTTAGAATAAAGGAAAGGTTTTCCATTATTTTCAGTCTCTAATGTCTAATTAACCATGTTATAAAAGGCTGATAGGGAAAATGTCACTCGTAAGGCAGTCAGTTAAATTTAATTACTTTCAGTGTGTAGGCATTGCCAGATGTAGCTCAAATAAACTCCAGGAAGTGCTGCTGCTCTTTAATTTACCAAGATTTACTTTCCTAAAGCTTTCAGATGTGAACAAAAAATGATATTTTATATTCAGATCTCCAAGTTATCATCTTCAGGTTAGTATCTGTGGACAGTGAATTCTGTTTCATCTAAGAACACTGTCAGCTGGAGAGGTTTAAAAAGTGACAAAAAGCAAAAGTTGGTATATTCAAAACATTAACTGTACTTAATTATGTACTTATTCATGGAGCGCCACTCCATGAACTCAGGTGTTACTCATCCCAGGGTTGGGTTTATACTGAGCCTTAAAAGCAACTTCACTGCCTGAACTCGGAAACTGCAACGATGCTGTCTGGAAGCACGAACACTGTACATCACTATGGTGTTAGCCAAAGTGTGTTATTTGAACAATGTACAATTATTTATTATTTTAAAAACCAACAAAACGAACAAAACAATAAAAACCCCCCTAGCTGGACTACACTACAGATTGAGGGGAACACGGGTTCCTGCAGCGCTAAACTCTTCACTGCATTGAAGAAAGAAGACGTCTTTTCTCTGCACCCCTAGACAAACGTGGAGCAGAGTTACAGCGCATTTCTCGAGCATCTCCGTGAGCCCGTAGCTGCCTTCACCGGGACCGTGGCTCCCCGGGCGCCGTTCGCCGCTGTTTGCCGGAGCCGGGGAGCAGCGCGGGGCACGGGGCGATCGTGAGGCGGCGGAGGCAGCGCTGCCCGGGGCCGCCTTCGCCGCCTGCCCCGGCTGGAGCCGCCGCCGCCTTGGGCGCCTGCGCGGCAGCGCTGCCCGCCCCGCACGGCTCCGTCCCGGCCATGGCTCTGCGGCTGCTGCGCGGCGCGCCCGGGGCAGCGAGTAAGAGGCGGGCGGAGGGCGGGAGGGCCCGGGCTGTGCCGCGGAGGGGCCCCCGGCTCCCCTGCCCTTCCTCCCGCAGGAGCTGACGAGCGAGGGGACGGGGCGGGCGCCGCCCGGGGCTGCCGGCGCGGGGGGGGCTGGAGAGCGCCCAAGATGGCGGCGGGTGAGGAGTGTGGCGCGCCCCGCCTCCTCAGCCTGGGGCCGGGGCTGTCACGGCTTTCCCTGCACCTTCCGTGGCCCCACAGTTTCCCTGCTCTTAACCCCTTCCCTGCCTTCCCCCGAGCCCTTTCGATATTAATATTCTCGCCTGTCCTGTAAACCTGCTGCTGTAAATCGGGCAACTCTGTTATTACGGAGGTTTTCTTGCCCTGTCGTTGCTTCATTCTTCTTATCGGCAGTAAAATGTTAAAAAGCAGTGTAAGGTTTGGAGAATAGGTGGAGGAAACGTGCTGTGGACCTGGAGGTTATTGCTCCGTTCCCTTCTCCTGAGGAAATTCAGGGGGTTTGTTTATCGGGAGTCAGACTGGGTAACAGAGCCTGCCCCACAGGCCTCAGCTTGGGCTCTTGTTGCGTGCTTCCCTCTCGCCAAAAGCTGAGGTTCTGTGCTGCCATTGATATCATACACTAAAACAAACCAGTGCACTGTATGTTAATGGAATTTTTGTTAGATGTTTGTGCTCCATTTGGCTGTCAGGTTCCTGGCAAGATGTGGCTAACGCTCTAATCCTCTGAGCATCCCGATGTGTTCCCAAATCCCACTGCATGGATGGCTTTGTCAGGATAAATCACATGCTGTGGGCCACTTCAAAAGATGGAATATTGCAGCGCAGCAACTTAAAAGAATTGGGATTTTCAAGTTCAGTTATATAATTAACAAATGGTAGGGCATTGTGACACTGTGTAAAAGAGGAGGGAATCAAAGATCAGTTTGTACAATGTGGTTTACTAGTATTGATAGTTTATCTCATCTTTTTCAGAGATGTTTAATGTTGAACTTTTGTCACCTCTCTGTCAAGAAGAGTTTATTTTGGTCAAGAACATCAAGTAAATCTATCAAGGAAAATGGGTTTTGCCTCTTCTCTAGTGACCGAGATAATAAATTTCATACCAGTACCTTAATCTGTTTTTTATTTTAATTTGGTCTAGAATACCAGCTATAATTTAATTTTCTTGCTAGCTTTTCTTTCTAGCTTACTGAAGAATGACAAGAAGCTTGGCAGGAGTAGAAAGACCCAATATTTGCAACAGATTGGATCCTTTACTGTTGATAATTTGTTACACCATGCTTTACTCCTTTGGGGCATTGACAGCAGTTGGCAGACATAATACAGTTTGTGTGGCTGTAGGGTTTGGTATTAAAGATGTGGTATTTTAAAATGAATGAATATGCTGATTCTGGGAATACAAGTGAGTTGTTAGCTGCTGTGTATTTAGGTGAGTCAAGTTGTCAGTGCTTGAGAAGACTTCCTGATTCAATCTCCTTAGGACAGTAGAATAATAGTTCTTTCAGGTACTTTGCACCCAGCTGGTACAGGGAGGATTTGTGTTTGAATCTTGCTTCTTAAGAAATGTCAGAACTGCTTTAGGCACCTGTCCACAGCCAAAATATTTTTAGTGGATAGTTTATGCTCACTGTGGACATTTACATTTGGCTTTTTAAACCAAACTGTTAGTAGGAGCTTAAGGAAAAAAAGTGGATGCTTTTAATGACAGCATTTGCATGCAGTTACATAATTGAACTTAAACATGCTCAAAGTTTTTCCTGCCTTTGACTACCAGCTGAATTATTTTACCATCCTAAGGGAAACCCAGCTATCTTCTGCTGACATTCTGGAAAACCTGTTACTAAGGGAACGTTTTATTTTTTTAAACTTTCCTTTGGGAAGGCAGAAGCTTTTTCTGACTAAAAAGCTGCTGGAAATGAGCCAAGATATGGAAATCAGCAGGTTTCTTGGGGGAGGTTAGGATTTCTCCTGGAAAACAGACTGTACTGGTCTATGCTAGCATAATTACTGTTTAAGAGTCTAAAATACAAAAAAGTAACAGCAAAGATAACTTCAAGCAGTTTAAAATACACTGTTAATGTGAACTGAGTTATACAACTAACACAATTTTGCCTACATCTGTTTCTAGGGCCAAAAATAATTATCTGTGCTGATTTCTTAGGTGTTCATGAGTTGAATGTTAAATAATTTTTAGAGTTTGTTTTCCTGCCTTCCTCTCCCTCATCCCTGAAGTAGTTTTTTCTCAGAGGTGTTCTGGACAGTCACAGCATTGCTCAAACTCCCACATTTATGCTGCGTGTCCATTTGCTTGATAGAGTCTTCGCTTCTTTGGCACTCACGAAGCAGCTCCAGCTCTAAGCCAGGAGGAAGAGCTCAACCTGCTAAGCAGCCACTAAAGAAACCAAAGTTACCAGTGGGGAGGTTTGATGAACCAGAAGAGTCCAGTATGGAGAAGGAACCCCTGGAAAGTAAGTAATGTTTTACAGAATTGGAAGCTGTGTTTTAAAGGCAAGATGCGAGATGCTGTGCTGGTGTCAGTTTAAGAAGGTGACAGACATCCAGCACTCTTTAGAATAATTTTCTAAACTTACTGCTTACTGCTCTGGAAAACAAACCAGGGAGGCAGGGCAGTGGGCACAGCTGCAGCAAATGGTGCCCCAGGGGAGAAGAACCTTCAGAACAGCCATGGTCAGACATTGTAGCAAATCACACAGAGAACCTGGGCTTCCTCTGCTCTTGAAGATAAGCAAATTTGCCTGAGTGTCCTGACTTAGTGCCAGCCCTGCCTTTAGCAGGGGTACTTTCCATTAGAACAGGCTGCTCAAAGCCCAGTCCAGCCTGGCCTTGCACATTTCCAGGGATGGGCATCCACAGCCTCTCTGAACAACTTGTTGCAGTGCCTCACCATCCTCACAGTAAGGAGTTTCTTCCTAATAGCTAATCTAAACCTGCCCTCTTTTATTTTAAAGCCAATCTCCCTTGTCCTGTCACTACATCACCTTGTTAAGAGTCCCTGTCCAGCTTTTTCACAGGCCCTCTTCAGGTACTGGAAGGCTTCTAAAAGGTGTTCCCAGAGCCTTCTCTTCTGCAGGCTGAAGAGCCCCAGTTCTCTCAGTCTGTCTTAATAGGAGAGGTGCACCAGTCCTGTGTTTGTCTTAGTGGCCTTCTCTGGACTTGTTCCAAGAGGTCCACCCCTGTTTTGTGTTGGGAACTCCACAACTGAACACAGTACTCTGGGTGGGGTTTGGGGTTTTTTTTGGGTTTTTTTGGTTTTTTTTTTTTGGTTTTTTTTTTTGGTTTTTTTTTTAACAAGTATTTATGATACAAAAATTTTCAAAAAGGCAATGCAAAGAATAACTTTTAACTATTTGCAGCAAATGAAACCCAAGTTTCACCCAACATCTTCATGAATTAAGCATTAACAATTTGATGAAATATTTTCTTCTCATTCTTCTATATACAGAATATATTCTGCCTTATCTTGTAAACAGGAAGCCAAGTCTGAAAGCTCTAACATCCTGAGGAAAAGAAATACAGACTGATATAAAGTCTCCAAAAGGAAGGCAGCAGAGTGCCCACTGGAAGCAGAATTTCCTTCATCTGTAGACAGTACTTCATGAAATCCTTCAAACCCATTAATGTGCCCCTCTGTACAGTGCTGGTAATTGCTTCAGTTCTTGGGATGTAGCCTTGGATAAAGTAATTTTCCAGAACTGGATGTAATACTGTCTCATGAGAGCATTGCCACTCACCTCCAGAAAATTAAAAGGTGGTGTAGCTGTCACATCTGTCAGGGGCTCTGCATCCAACATCCAGGCAAGCCAGTGCCGTGCATAATTGTGTCCATGAGGATGTGCCCCTTCTTTAATTCCATAAGGCCACCAGAGTTAAATGATAGCAGCATAAAGACTAATTAATCCTTACATTCATTTGAGAAACTGATTGTGTTCTTCCACCTTAGAATCCTTCATTTCATGAACAAAATCCTCAGTGACTCTTTCACAGAAGTCCCCTCTTTTCATAGAGGCCAAAATGGCACTGTGTAGTGCCATTTTAGTTTGTGCAGCAGAGCTGAAAACTGGTCTCCAACTCCAGAGTGTATTACCCTGAGGCCACCACAGCTTTGCATCATGGTGCAAAGCTACTTCTGCTTCTCCTTTCACAAATTTCTCCACAGTTTGTCGTTGTATTGCTGTATTATTCTCGTATTATAAAATCATTTCCATGCAATTTCAGATTGTGGCTCACTTGAGAACTAACTCACAGTTGGAGTTACTGTGTAAGCAACTGTTAAATCCTTGTCTTTTTATTCCCAGGCAAATCAGTGCCATCACTGCTGCATTTAAAACATGCATAATCCTTATCTTTTGTTATTTGCTTAGGTATTCCAGGTTTGGAGCAAGACTCAAGGTCTCTTTAGTTGCACCTGTATTTTTTACATGTAACACTAGCAATAGTTTGCAAACTGCCTGTTGTATTACTAGGATAAAAACTAAGAATTGAAGCTGGATTTAGAATTCCTACTGCTGTAGCTATCAGTGGAGAAATCTTTTGAGCATCAGCATCCACTGCCAGCACGAGCAGTGCTTTGGTATTGGGAAGATGACATGAACAAAATAATATCAGGTGCATTTGCGCCCCTTGTACTGCCAGAGGTGCTCAGATACTGGTGTTTCTTTTCCTGGTTGGCATCAGTTATGAAACAGGTATCCTGGTATGTATCATCCTGTGTAGCCTGTAGCTGTATGAGTTTCCTCCATCACTTTTCTTTTTGTCTGATGTCCAGAATTTCTGTTGTAGTCTTCCTGTTGTATTTTCAGCCCTGCACCTCATGACTGTGTTGCCCACCCGGGCTGAGTTAGGGATATGACTGAGGGATCCCAAGTTAGGTGTGTATGTGGGAAGCTGTGGAGAATCAGCATGGCCAGGGGCATGTGGGGTACTGTGAGTTTGTGGGAGCCCCACAGTCTGGTGCAGGATGAGACTCAGCCTAGGGGGGGGCTGTGCCACAGGTGCTTCGTGGCTTCATGGCCTGAGTTAACTCTTCTTAGGAGATGGCCCTGAGTAAAGGTGCACTGAGTAGTGTAAGAATGTTGGCTGAGGTACAGAAGGCTCTGTGGTGTTTAAGAAAGTAGCATGAGCTGGCTGTGTGCTTCTCTTTTGTAGCAGGGTAAGGGGTTGGATGAAATCTGGACATGATCTGGCAGTGTGTCATTGGAGGCCAGAAAAACAAATACTGGACTGTATCAAAAGCAGTGGGGCCAGCAAGTCAAGGGGGTGATTGTCCTCTGTTCTCATGAGACCCTGCCTGGAATGCTGCATCCAGCTGGGGAGTGCTCAGCACAAGAAAGGCATGGACCTGTCTGAAGGGTCCAGAGAAGCTGATCAAAGGGCTAGAGCACCGCTCCTGCCAGGACAGACTGACAGAGCTGGGGTTGCTCAGCCTGAAGAAGAGAAGGCTTTGGGAAGATCTGACTGAGGGCTTCTGGTGTCTAAAGGGGGCTCAGTACCCTAAGGGGGTTTATAAGATGCAGGGAAGGAGTTTTCATACGAGCAGATAGTGACAGGACAAGGGGCAGTGGTTCTAAACTGAGGGAAGGCAGGCTTGGAATAAATGGTAGGAAGAAACTCTTTGCTCCGAGGGTGGTGAAGCATTAGAACAGGTGGAGCATTACATGGCTCAACCATCCAACCTGGTTGTTTTAAGTACAAGACTAACAGAATCTTGAATAAATTCAAGCTAAAATTATAACAGAGTACTTAAAATTAGAGAGGTAAACAGCAAATAATACCTGGGGTTTTAGATTTCACGAACATAAGTACAGCATACCCAAATGATGCAGGTTCTGACTTGAGAAGCTGTGGTCCTTTAATGCCTCTGGACATTCGGTTGCTTCTTTATTTGCATAATAAATAATATAATGTTATATCTGTATTTGTAGATATATGTATATAGATAAATAATATATATGATCATATAGCAGTAAAAAAACCTGAAATTCATTTTGTAGGGCTCTGGGAAATATTTAGTTCAAGGTTGCCTTTCAAAACAAAAAAGAATTGATTTTGTCTTTGAAAATGAAACTAAAAGGAAAACATCATTAATGATAGCACCTTTGTATTTGTCAACATTATAGGAATTTTAATGGACTTTCCCTGTCATTTTAGAATTCCCTGATGGAATCAATCCTACTACAAAAGAGAGGGGTGGACCCAGAGGCCCTGAACCTACACGTTTTGGAGACTGGGAAAGAAAAGGACGTTGTATAGATTTCTAATATTGAAATGTCTGTATTGCTAATAAAATATTTCTAGTTGCTAAAATATATAATGTACAGAAAAAATCTCACCTGGATTTGTCATGGAGCTTATTGTTTCTGTTGTGCCACCACATTCTGTCATGTGATGAATTTTTTTACTAATGCAATGTAATTAAACACAGTGCTTTAGCTCAGATTATGGAGCTGTTTGTGGCTCAATGTTTGCCTGATCTTTAATACTATTTACACTGTGCAAGTATAAATGCAAGTACAGTGGTGTGAAATTGGTAGTCAGGAGCTTATTGAGATGTATAAGGGCTTGTATTTCTTCATGAATATAAAGATTGATGTGGTGGTGTAAAAGTGTTGAAAGAACTTTGCATTTCATGAACCTGAGCACCATTCATCAAAGGCAGAACCAACTCTGAGATCCATAGGTCACTGATTTCACACAGTGGTTCCCTGGTGAAAGCCCCTTTACTCAAGAACCTTCCCTCTGTCCCTGTTGCAGTGGGTTGGGGTTTTTTCCTGTTTGTAGGGAAGGGACAGTCTTGTCTCTGATTGAGGGCTGTAAGTAGCACAATGGAAATGGAGACTTAAATTTTGGAGAGGGTCAGCTCTTGGTTGCAAGTAGTGTAGAGGTGCTCTATTTGGAATTCTAGAACACTGTCCTTTATCACCTTCTTCATGCTACTTACATTATCTTTTCTTTTGTAAGTGGAGTTGTCCTTTTGCACACGGGCTAACTGCTGCTTTGGAAAAATACAGCATTGTTGTCTGAAACCTTATGGTTAAAGGGGACAAATTCCATTAGGTGAAGTCATATTGCAGGTCTTTAAGTTATCTGGCATCACAGTAAATATATTTCAGTCACACTGAGCTCGGTTCTTGATTCAAGAATTTGCCTAGTTGTAAGTGCTGTAGTAGAGTAATAGTAGCATGCAAATCTACCACTTGTGTGGGTACTTACTAATGAGAGTAAGTTGTCATTATTGAAATGTGAACATGTGCTCTGTTTCTGTGCAAGTTCTTTGTGATAGCCTGAACAAATGGATCTTCTCTAGTCAGAATCAGAGAAGGGTGTGGGCTTTGCCCAGCTTTGCCTTTGCTTGGTTTAACTTAACTCGAGCATTAAAGTGTGAGGGTCTTGTCACAAATCTGAGCAGCCTCCCCTCAAGCTCACTTCACTGGCAGCCAGTGGGGGAGCTCCTTGTTGAAATCTGGCAGTTTGTGTATCCAGTGAGTGTGTTAGAGACACAGTCTTGCTCTAGCTGTGAGTTTGGATGTTTGTCTCACTGTGGTGTTTCTCTACAAAAATACTGAACCTATTCAGTTACAGGTTTATCAACCAAATACCTCACTGACAAGAAAAATGAGATTAATGAAAGCCTGTTTCTCATAAAAAGTGTTAATTAGTGGTAATTAGATTTTGAACCTTTAAATTCTGCAACATGGCTTGGATATTGGAAAATTGGTTTGTATTTGTATCTGATTCATTCTGTTTTCCCTCTGTATAGTGACAGATCTTTTTAAAATCTGTTGACATTTTCAGTTACCTAAAGATAAGCTGGGTCAGCTGTCTTTAATTTCTTAATTATTTCTAGCAATGTTTTGCCTTTTCAGTTGCTGGTGTGTTGGACACAATACACCACCTTTTCAAATAGGAAGTGGAAATTTTAGTTGGAAGCTTCTGCCTTTTCTGCATCGTTATTTATAGGCTTCACTTCTTAATTCACAAAGAAGAGGTGAAATACTGCAGTTATTTTATTTTTTAATTCTAAATCTTCTCCATGGATTGTTGCATTACTTCATTATCTTCTCATATCAGGTTTTACCCTTTCCAGCAGACACTCCATGAATGTTTACCTAATTGCACTTCTTGGCATTCCTGATTTTCAAATCTAATTACTTTACTCAGTGCTGACTGCAGGTGCATTCCTCCCTGGATGCAGACTTACAGTTTTGATTTAGCATATGAAGAACTGCTCTCACTTTTCCATCATTTTCCTTACATTTCACTTGCTTATCTTTGGTCTCCCTCAGTGTTAAGGGCTGACCCAAGTGCTGTCCTGACCTCTGCTTGTCTTCTTTCATGCAGGTGATGACTGCTGCTGTCAGAGCCACAGGCAGGTCCAAGCACTTCATGCCAGTATCCATGACATACCTGGATTTTGAAGATAATTTTGAGAGTGCTAGCATCTGTAGCAATAGCACAGAGTGTCTCATAAGTGCAGGGATTTTGCTTTCCCTCAAAAAGCAGAATCACAGAGTAATTTAGGTTGAAATAGACCTGGAAGATCATCAAGTCCAACCAGCCGCTGCCAAGTCTGCCACTAAATCACGTTCTCGAGTGCCACATCTACACATCTTTTAAATTCCTCCAGGGATGGTGACTCAGTCACTTCCCTGGGCAGTCTGTTTTAAGCTTGACAGCCCTTTTGTTGAAGATTTTTTTCCCTAAAATAAAAAGGCTGTTTTAAACCCATGTTATAAATAGCTGAAAAGGAGTTGGTGCATGGGAAATAGAGGATACCCTTTCAGTCTTGAGCAACTTCAAGCCTTTTTTACCACCTCCCAGGCTGGTGCTGTTAACTAAATATTTGCTGAACTTGTTTATGGAAGGTGTCAATGAGACATAGGAAACTGAACATATAAGCAAAATAATATGTAAGAGTCAAAGAATGCCAAGGGGCCCTCTTACATTGTCTGGCAATCTGGCATTTACCAAACAGAGGAGCCCTGGGCTCCAGTAACAGTTAAGCACAAAATCCTGTGGTGCTGCAAAATCTCTTGTGGTACCTGTCAAAAGTGATCAGGGATTGAGTGTAATAAATGATACAATGATAGTGTAGGGTATAAACAATCATTTCTCTTTGTTTTCTTGCAGTGCCAGCAGTTAAGAAAGCAGCACTTCAGCACTTTTTCAGAGCTGTCTTCCTGCTCTTCCCAGATAATTACTATTAGCAATTCCCTGGAATTTAGCATTAGGGTAAGAAAATGGCTTGGGGCATTAGCTATTAGATCAGCCATAGATATGGTTTTATCATAAATACTGATTGATTTTTTTTAGCTCTTTTTGTTAGTATAAACAGTGAAGAGCAGCAAGGGCTGTGTCCTAACATTTTCTGTTAACTTCCTGTGAGACAAAGGAAAATTGTTCTGTGTGTAAGCAAATTCTTGCAGTACTGCAGGATGCTTGCTGCTCTGTTTCATTTTCTTTAATAAAAATCTGCATGTTGTGTTTCTGCAGTAGGTTTTCTCTTTTAAACCTGTTTCTGCTACTTGGCATAGATACATTTGGTACATTATTAAAATTACGAAGCCTTTATTATTTGAAGGAATTGCACCATAATTACTTTATTTCAAAATACACGAATTTTCGATTTACAGTTAAAGAAAATATTTGCTATATATTGCCTTGTTTAGAAAGCATGTATTTCAGTGCTGATTTTATTAAATTGAAACACAGGATACATAATAGAATCACAGTAAAATTACCTGTGATGGTAGCATATGTTTGTAAAGCACCATAAAATGCTGTTATAGATCTTTACTGCATTTTTAGTTGACTGCAATAAATGGTGACAAATTCCAGTGGTCTGTAGTGACAGATAAATTAAATGCCTGTGACCCTTATTTTGGTATTCTTATTGAAAAAGCGCCACACCATCTTGTTCTGAAATGTCAGGAAGAGGAGGAATACTGCATTCATTTCTAAGAGAAGCAGTTTTGGTAGTTCTGTGTTTTTGTAATTGTTCATGAGTATCAAGGTATAATATGGTATCAAATATATCAGAACACAAGGAAATGGTTTGAAATGTGCTTCCATGTGCTGATGGAGATCAGAACCATGCTCATTAGTGGTCACTTCCTTGCTTTTGTAAAATGCAATATAAAATACCTTTGCTTAGCTGGTGGTCAGTGTTTCATATCAGACCAGCTGAGATGTGCAGGCTACATTCTAATGTGGCTATGGCTGTGCTCCCTCTTCCAGCTCCAAACCTGCTGCTTGTTTAGGAGTTGTGACCTGTAACCTTCTAAAACACTTTTGTTGCAGAAAGGGTGTCCCAGTAGAAGTTGAATCTTAGTTACAAAATGGCAAGCCCTGAGAAAAGAGCTCTATTTAAAATGACTGCTCTGAGGGCAGTCAGTGACACCCCCTGCAGACTGAGCATCTTTCTCCATGTGCCTGTGTTGATTGACATTATCTCCACTGGGCCAGGGGCATCTTTCTGACCATCTTTTCCCCCTGAGAGGAATTATTTGGACCTCTTTTGCAGCCACTTAAATTAAGTCTCTCCTTGACACCTTCTCAGAATAGGTTGGAGTTACTGACTTTTGAAGTGTGGGGACAGTGCAGATATTGGCCTCCCATCCTTTGGAAACCAAGCTGCTGAATGACTTTGACCATATGCATTTTCTTCAGAAATACTCAGCATCTCTCTGCATTTTTTTGCTGTGAGAATGGAATTTTTTCCCCTCAAATAGCATCAGAAGTGCCAATTACAGCTTGCAGCAGGAAAGTCTTTGACATGCATTCTCTAGGCAGCTACAGCCTCGTGCCTTTAAAAAATCACATATCTTAATGTTGCCATTTTTAGGGCAAGAGTGTTCAAAGAAGCTTTTTAAGGTCCTTACTTAACACATTAATTTATATTAAAGCTGACACCCATGGCCTATCAAAACACAGCTGTAATTCTCAAATGTTAGCCCCTGACAAAAGTCAGGTGAGCTATGCAGTGGTGATCAGGTTAATTCTAGAAGCCAGATATTGAACTATAACTTACACTCTTCTAACTGATTGTTACAAACTTGAGTGACTTATGTAGCCATCTGTGCTTCCTTCCTAGTTGTAGTTCAGGGAGATGCCTCTCAAAGGTATCCTTGTCTCAGTGTGGGGGGTTTGTCATTACAGGTGCTGAATGGGGGTGTTTTCAGGGCATCCTCCCTACTGACTTAAAAGGCTGCCTGAACAGCTGTCCTGAGCAAGGTGTATGAGGTGTCAGTGCCCTGGTGGTGACAAGGGAAGCCAGGGTGTCCCTGAACATGAGTGTGAGCTACTCATTTCCTCAGAGGGGGAGGGCTGCACTGAGGCAACGGGACCTGCAGTGCTTTTGCTGCCTGCACCATTCCCAAACAGGGTGGCAGGGAAGGGGATGTCCGGGGCCAGCTCTTAGACACCTTGTAAAAGGGAGTTACATTGTCTTAAAATGAGAGGGAAAAGGCTGAAGCTAGTTCTTTAAATTCCTTCTGCCTATCCACCTCCCAAGCAAATGCCTACAGCATGATACAGTCAGGAGGGTAACACTCCATAAACTTACACTCAGGTGACAAGTGTCTCAAACCTACAAATCAGTGGGATGTTTTCCCTAATAAGGGTGAAGCGTGGCAGGCTAACAACTAAGCAATTTTATGTGCTGAGAGGGACTTAGCATCAAAATAAAACTGGCAGACTAGGAAAAAGTCATATATTTGCTCAGCAAACCTTTAGTCTGTGTGACTTCCTTGTGAGAGGCTAAAGAACAAAGGATGATGTGTTTCCAGCTACCATTTGAAAGCTGGGGAAAATTTCACCATGTCTTAAAAGACAGACAAGCAAGTGCTGCTTAGCTCAGGGAGTATCCTGCTCTTGGTTTACATGTTACCCCAGAGTTTTCACTTACAAGTTCTGCAGTGTGTATGTGTGATCTTGAGACAGATTTTTTCCCAGATGATTTTCTTGAGACAAGTTTGCAGTAGCTGTTTGGTCCAGCAGACATATTGTTTCATTCTCCTGGCTTTTCTTTTCAGCCTGATAATGACAGCTACAGCTCTCTTATTTTTAAATTGCATATTATTTAATTTCAGTTTTACTTTTTGCCATCCTTGAAGTGGTTTTTTTTTTTTTTGATAGCTTGTACCCTTTGTTTCTCTGTGGTAATAACAGGGCACATGATAACATTAATCACAAATTACAGGTTTCTCCTTCTGTTTCCTTTCTTTGCAGGAGATCTTCTGCTAATATGGGGGATTTTTGTATGTGAAGATCTTAGCTACAGTCAAGAAAAATAACTGGAATTTCTCCAGGGGCATTTGACTCTAGTTTCAAATTTAAGCTCATTATTCTGTCAAAATCTAGCTTTTGTAGGAAGTTAAAGATGCAAAGAGGGTGAAGGATGTCTGTAAAAAGTAGCATCAGTCTTCCTGCAAGCTTTATACTTTCAGTAGTTGAAACCCAAACTCATTTCAAGGTCTCCTCTGTGAAGGTCACTGAGCTGTCAGGTTACGTTATTCAGCTTTTTCCAGAGCACATGGCTGTGGTCCAGTCTGTCCAGTCAGGACATTGTGGTGTGTCAGGACAGTCCCTAAAGAAGCTTTTATGGTTTCAAGGCTTAGTGTGCACAGAGATATACCATGCTACAGAGGTACACATCTGACTGGTGGGTACATTGTAAGCTCACTTGTGAATGACTGCAGGCATCACAACCATCTCTGAAATGGCAGGGAGATTTGAGTAAAAGGGCTCAGATAGCCAATGGTTACCTTCTGGTCCTACTGTCATCTCCATTTTGAAGAGAAAATTGTACTTATTCCTCCTTAAGAACAGAAATCTCAAAGAGCACCTGCTGCTGTTTCAGGAGATGTGCTGCATCCTCTCATCCCCTCACTGAGGAAGAGCTCTGATGGGAGAGCAACTGTCAGAGAGAGGCTGAATGACACTGAACAGGTGCAGGAGGCAGCAATTGTGCATTTGGGCAGCTGACCACCAGATGGTCCTTCCTATAAAACTGTGGAGAACTGTGGATAATACTGGGTGTATCACAGAGGCCTGCTGGGCTCCACAAACCCTGTGTGAGGGGCAAAAACAGAATGCTCAGTGCAGGATTTCTGCAGCTACTGTGGTTCTTCAAAGGAAGCCAGAAAGCAAAACAGCACAGGTATGCAAGGAAAGAAGTATTTTCATTTTGCCATATTATTGAAATAAGGATGGCTGGAGAATGAGGTGACCAGTAGTGTGCTGTGTTGGGGAGGGGAGGGGAGGAGAGGAGAGGCAGGAGTAGGCTTCTCCACATGAACTGCACCAGGCCTGGGCTGAACCTGGATCCTGGTCTCTGTTTCTGGAATCTTTCCTTCCATCCTTGTATG